GGGAGTCATTGAATTTTTTTAAATTGCTGGAGGTTTACTGTAGATTTATTTAATGAGATGTGCATTGGCACATTTTTTAAAATCTTATGTAAGTACGTTTTTTCAAAATAATGATTTGTACAACTCCTGAATTTAAGATTAGTTTAGAATAAATTAATATGAGGTATAATGTACAAATAAGATGGGATACACAATTTTAACTGAGCAAGAAACGTTTTAAATATATTTTGTTTCATGTAAATTGAGTGGTTTATATTGTTTAAATACCAATGACCAGTGTAAAAATTTCATTTCAGCGGTTTTAGGAAATCATCCTTATTTTATTAAGAGCTGAAAACATAAAATATTTGTAAAATTACACATTTTTTTATTGATGCACAGAAAAATGGAGTAATAACAGATGAAAATCTGTTCAGAAAAAAAAAACAGTCAGTAGTAACTTAAAGTAACACAAGTTAATTAACCTGTTGGATAAAAAAGGGTTTATTAATTTTGAAGTAATAATTAATGTGCTCCTGTTTTTTTTAGTTTTATCTTATTTGGATTTTTATAAGTACTGAATCATTATTACATAGATTTGAAGGGTTTTTCCTTTGAATTTTTTTCTTACTTATGTTTTCAAAAGTTTATTACATATTTTATATCAATTTTTTATCGTGATTGTTAATTTTAGGGTTTTTGAGTTAATTTTTACTTTTTGGTAGAAGGTTAAATGTAGTAAGTATGTAAGTCTTCATGCCCCTAGTAATTATTTTCTTGTGTAGGGATAAATCTAGTCAACTGCTCAAATTGAATTACAATATAGTGCACATATCATAGTAAGTGTTTGATTGAGTTCTAATTTAACTTTTTCAACAGGCTTATGAGTTGTCAACACTGACTGGTACCCAAGTAATGCTACTGGTAGCTAGCGAAACTGGCCATGTGTATACATTTGCTACTAGGAAGTTACAGCCTATGATAACCAGTGATGCTGGCAAGGCACTAATCCAAACTTGTCTGAATTCTCCTGATGCCCTGGCTGGTCCAGGAGGCTCGGGGCTGGATCAGCGTATGAGTGCTACTGGTTTTGAAGAAACTGAGCTGGTCTACAGTGTGAATGAGGACACAGAAAATAGAGTAAGTAAATTAGAGCTGTTAGCTAGTTACAAGAGTTGATTTTGCTGTTGTAAAGTTTTAATGTGCTTATACTGGTATTTATATAAATCACTTAAGTTTGAGGTTCCATATCACCAGGTGTAAGAAGTTTTATACACACATTCCCCTGGAATTTCCTCACATATTTTTATCACTTTATCTTAGGAAACAATGAAAGGACACTATTTAACATTTAAGTTTTAAGTGAAAAAACTAATAAGTAAAAATAGATTCTATGACCAGAACTTGAACCCAGGACCTATGGTTAACAGGCAAGTGCTCTATCACTTAGTTCTTCAAGATTGTGAGCTATCCCTATCAACGTTCACCTGTAAAGCTTTTTACTAGGGATGCATGGGTACGTGGCCGGATATTGGATCACCCGGTAATACTCGGCTCCAGCCAAGTATCGAAGTTAAAAACAGCCGAATCTGGGTAATTGAAAATGGCATCTAAGCCCTAATCTTTGTGGCAACTTATGTAGTACTGAACATTACAGTCAGTAATTGGTTTAGTTAAAAAAAAAACGTGTTCTGAGCAACAAAGCCTGACCACCCGCTGAAAGTCTGGAATTCAGATAACAATAGGGGTTAATAACAGGCATGGCTTGAGAAGTGGATTTCTGGTGCAAGTGGGGGTTTTGAGAACAATATGGGTTAGGGTTTGAGAAGTTGGGGCTAGGCATTAAAAGTAAAACTTGAATGTTCTGTTGATGATTATTCGGTTAAATGTAATAAACGTCAATTTTGTTTTTGTTTCTAATTTTTGGGTGGGGAGCGAGGGGAGAACCCAGTCTCGGTTGACACCCGCCCCGGCCAAAATTTAGTACTCGGTAATCGGCCAAATGTTACTACCTGTGTATCCCTGTTTTTTTACTATGAGTATTATCAGCGTACTATGCTATGATAGATACAAAGATTAAATCATAAGAAGTCTATCCACATGCCTATACCTGTATTTATTTTTGAGTTTCTTTAGGAAACAATAAAAGAACAATGTTTAACATGAAATTGTAAATGAAAATATATTCCATATTTTCACTTTTGAAGAAATGTTAGCAATAAGTTCAACTAAAGTTGATAACAGTGTAGAAACTAAAATATGTATATTTGTCATCTTTTTTTTATGCAAAAATTGCTTTCAGCTTCTTTTTTTTTACGGTAGGCTTCATAAAAATGTTTCATTTTCTAGAACTCTTCTGATGAAGGAAAGCCTTAATTGGAAAGACACTTACATGATCAGCTTGTGTATTAAAACAAAGCACATATTTTGAAAGAGAACATTTCTTTGGAGTTTCAGCTTAATAAAGTTTGTTAGGTTTTAGCAGCAAATCTTTATGGTAAAGTGACAAGACATTCAGCTGTTACTTTTACTTCCAGTGTAATATATAGTTCTGTGTAATTTAAATATAACCTAAGTATGTGTATTTATATATATATATATATTTTAAATAGTTGCTGTAGATGAAAATGTTTTAGTTTTTTCTCAAGTTTAAGCTTAAACCTTTAACTACCAAAGACTTAAGTAACCTCATTAAACTCAAACAAAAAACTTGCTTACCATGTGTTATACCTTTAAAAAAAAGTATTGCGCTGGTGTAATACTCCTAATTTCTCTAAAGTAACTGCATCAGTATTTGAACTGACAATTTTTTTACATATGCAATATTGAATAAAAAATTTTAATTTTGCATAATATTTTACTTTTCAGTGTGTTTAGTTAAAATTTTTTTTTGAAAGTAATTAGCCAGTTTGTTATTAATATAATAATTTTTGCTTCATGCAAGTATGAGAGAGATTAACTAGTATGAGAAGGAAGACTATTCTGATAATTTTAGCACCATAGTTTTTTAAAGATCTGTTATTACCTGTGTTTTTAATTTGTTAACACATTGAACGTCTGGCTGTTTTAGTGGTGCACATTAGTATGCCATTTACTGAGTTTGATGCAAACTTAAAAGGGAATAATGTCGATTTATATTTTTATTAATATCTATGTATTCTGTGCTGTTATTAACTCCATTAAAAAAAACTGTTAAAACATCTGTTATCCTCCTTCCTCTATACAGGTGTCCCACTACCAACCGCACATGTACGCCCAGGTTCCCGAATATAACACGCAGAAACTTCCCCCATTTTATACAATTTAGATGAACCTTTTCTGACTGACGACCTCTGACATCCAATCAGCAAGACGCAGCAGTAACGACCAGTTCATCACCGGGTCTGCCGCACGTGCAGCGCTGGGCGCCGCGCGTGTTAGGCACGCCGTACATCTACGCCTCTTCTTCTCTCTTTCTCTTCTTAAGCTCTGTCAGTGAGTCTCTCTCGGACTTCTGGCGCCTTCCCATATTTGGCCAGAGAGGGTGTATCCTTTTCCTTTTATGGTGATAAACTTCCCCATATTAGTCATAGCCGGCCTTGCTGGAGGGAGCCACGCGAAAGGCCAAGTGCCCGAAAATGGAAACCGGCTTTTTCCTCTGTATTGGTGAACCCGGCGGAGCCAGGTTCTCCTTACTAGGAAGTTGGCTGGACGGTAGTTAGTCACGTGATACTTGCAGCTACAGGCTTTATCAGCAATTGGTGGATTAGAACGTTAATGTGCGATGGCACATGGAGAATGTCAGAGCAGGTCTCTGACACTGGCGACATGATTATGGTGTATACCGTTTGTGTTTCGAATCTACGAGTTTTTATATGTATTTTTTTAAAATAGTGTAAGTGAGTCTGATTTTGTAGGCTATTCCAAGAATGCTTGTTGAACAAAAGTGTATTGTGTGAATAGCAGTGGGATGTTGGCAGTTGCTGTATATTTAATACCCTTAAGCAGGGGCGGTAGTGATATCTGGTTGTTGACTTGTTTTCTAATTTTTCTTCTCTTTTTTTAGTTGTTATTAGGCATCCTACTTGTATCCGGCAGATGTTTTTTTTCATTAAAAAAGAAGTTAACTAACGTTGGTAGTTTCATTTCAGTAATGTTTTTATTATATAGTGAAAATCAAAAAAGTTATCATACTTACCATTGGTGGATAATTAACTCGTGTTTCATAATGGTAAAAAGCATTTCTTTGTAGTGTGCTTATCTTCAAAACGTTTACAAGTAATTTTATTTTATTTTTTTCACCTGTTCTGCTACCACAGAAGTGAAATTTGCGTTTAATTTTTACTGTTTGCATATTAAATAGCGACGCCTTTTTTGTTTTATAGGATGTGTTAGTTCTCCGTGTACTTAATGAAACAACTTGTTTTACAGTGTTTAAAACTACTTTTGGCTAACGCTTTGTGTGTGTGTGTAATGCTAGCTGTATAAGCATTCCACCTAGTTGTTGTTCAGTCAAGATTTTGGTTACATTTTTCAATCCTCTACAGAAATCGTATTATGTTATTTTGTTGTTCTTTAAAGCTTTGACTCTAAAGAATCGATTTTTTTTTTTAATTTCGTGTTTAAAACTATCTTGTTCACTGGTGTCTTATGACAATCAAACAAGTCATATTTTTATATCAGATTTTCTGCTGGAATTTTTAAATATATTTTGCCTAAACTGGCTGGTTTCCAGTTTAGATTTTTTGGATATTTAGAAAACATCGTTACTAAAAATCTTTTGTTGGAAAGTTACATTCCTGTAAAATTTTGAGAAATTTTTATACAGTTAATAAACAATTTGGAGTTTACATGTGTGTATGCTTGTACTTTATTGATTCTGAGCTTGGTATATCTCAAGACGCCTCAATTTTAGAGTACAAATGGTAACGGTGGATATAAAACTTATGGTAAAGATTCACAGAAGTACTGGAATACGTGTTAACTTCACAACAAGGTTTCGTATTCAAAGAAGAGAAGAGCAAGTCATCACAATTAATAGTTTATCCCTAGATAGTAGTGCGTAGTTACATACAGTAGGACAAATAATAAAATGAGTTGATACATCAATATAATACTATCAGTGTGCTTGAGTTAATGGTGATTTAAATCCTGGCCTGTAATTGGAATCTTCACCAATCCAGTGACCAGTACCTCGTCTGTTTAGGACACTTTGGGTTACATAACCTCTGTGTCTGACTTTTTATCATTTACAACTGCTGGTATTCAGGTTATTGCCGATTCAACTTAATTACGTGTTTCTTTGCCCTTGAATGTGAATTTTACCTTTTAAAATTTGCAATTTTTTGGCATAGTAAATTGTTAAATCGCAACATTTCTGTACTAAATGTCTTACCCTCATGAGGATTTATATTAAATTAGTTCTTCCGTAAATTGTAAAATGAATGTTAAAAGTCAACCCAAGACTGGAAAGCGTGTACAAGTCAGTATGTGTACCAAGAGTCCAAGTAAATGAAGCAGATTAATCTTCCTTGCCGAGTGTATCCGAATATTTGTGTCCAATAAAGTCGCACACGAAAAATGTTAATTGGAATATTCTGGTCATTTGCTTTTGTTTTGATATGAAAATACCGAATTCAAATTGATAAATAATTTATTACATCAGACTATTCGGGTTAACATCTTCATCGGAATGCTAGATCGACTGAGAGTAACTGGAAAAGTTAATTAGCAAAGTAACTCGAATCTATGCGAGTTTTTTATTATTTTTTAAATAAGAAATTTAAACAGTCGGTGAGGCAGGGCAATGAACTATGAACTTTTACAATGCTTTTAAACTAGTGAAGAGCAGTAAAGGCTACTGTGACGTATTTTAAAGCGTTAAAGGTTGAAGTAATCAATATGCCCAAAATATATGATAAGAATAACGCTAGACCGTGTTTGTGTAAACCTTTTTATAAACACACCTCTGAAATGTGTAAAAAAAGATCTAATTTTTGATCATTGCTTATTTATTCCATGCCTGAATCCACCAGGGTTGGACGGTGATAACGAAAAGGCTAGACAAAAAGCTATTTTCTGTGCAGTACATATCTTGTATATTCCATTATCAAAATCCGTCAAGACGTATAATGTGAGTGTCAAAAATAAGATAAGAACAACATCTGAAGTCAGGATATAAAATCACTATTAACAATTCATAATTAACACGATTACAATTCTAACTAAAATTACAAATTTTGATAAAGCCAACTCATGAAACAATTCAAAGTATATTATCATTATTATTATTAGAAGAAAAAAAAACTAGTTACCCATACAATTCAGATTTAAAAATATAATTTAATAGGCCCGGCATGGCCAATTAGATTAGGGCCCTCGACTCGCAATCTGCGGGTTGCGGGTTCGAATCCCCGTCACACCAAACATGTTCGCCCTTTCAGCCGTGGGGGCGTTATGAAGAACGGTAAATTATACTATTCGTTGGTAAAAGAGTAGCCCAAGAGTTGGCGGTGGGTGGTGATGACTAGCTGCCTTCCCTCTAGTCTTACACTGCTAAATTAGGGACGGCTAGCGCAGATAACAAACAATAATTTAATTTCCTTCAACTTTCTCATTTTTATTCAAAGTACTAAACGTACGCTTCATGATTAATAGTTATACAAATAAAAACTTCTGGGAAAACTGCATGGACACTATGCTTATTCAAGTATTTAATTTTCTACAAGTACTTTGAACTATGATTTTACAACACAAGAAAAATATTAAAAGAACCAAGTATGAGAATATTGAAAATTTGTTTACTTAGCAATTTAGACTTTGCATGCATATAGTTCATCGAGTATCGAATTAATTAGAAACTATTTTTGGGCCCAAATGACTGGCGTTTCAGCCCCTGGATCTGGGTATCCATAGTTCATGTTTCGTTGCTTGCAAAATCGTCATGCACACTTTGGGGGATTGGATGCAGTATGAAAGTAACAGTCATATTCGATTATAGTAGCCGAAGCATTGACTGTGGGAGCTGTTAGCTAACTGCCTTCCCTTTACTCTATCAGTTTAAAATTAGAGACGGCTAGCGAAAATACTTCTGTGTAGTTTCTCACTGATATCCGAAAGAAAACACTTGTGGAGAAACATTTATGTTAAACTAAACAGACTTTCATATTTTCACCTGCTTGGAGCACGGGTTGGTCTTGTGGTAAAGCTCTAGAGTTGGGAGCTGGTGAGTCTGGTTCAAATTCGTACGATACCACAAAATATACCCCGTACTTTAAGCTGTGGGTGCGTTAAACGAGTAATAATGATTCCCATAGCGTGTATGCTGGGACGTAGGGTGCTGCTGATTGGCTGCCTTCCCTCTGGTCAGTAAGTAGTTCGAAATGAGGAACGGCTGCAGATAGCCTTAGGAGCTTCTCTATAAATACAAATTATATATCGATTGGTTTCTTATATTACAATAAGTCTGATCCAGATTGTAATCACAATAGCCCATGGGCCAACAATCGCAAACATCTGGTAAATTTTTAAGATTATGTTTTCAACATACTACAACATGTGCCTCGTCAAAATATAGTTGTGTGAATTTTTCTACGTGATGGATGCAGAAATATGAAAAGGTTGAGGGGACTAAAGGGGGAGGAAGAGCCACTGGGTGATCCAAGCTAAAATTACTCTGATATTTTATACCTGAGATATTTTTGAAACAGAGAGAAGCATTTGATAAAATAGGTTACCAATGTCAAAAATGTCTGGTATGGATTTTTGTCAAATCCTAGTAAGAGGAGTAGACGATAAAGTTATTACTTGAAGAACTGCAAAAAGAAACACTTTCATAAAGGCTCGTTGGAAGACAAATTAGAACATCGTGTGTTTTCCTGCAAAGTTTTGATGGAAAGACTCCTAATGTGGAAAAAATACGAGAGCTTTGTTCGATATAAGAAGAAGCCGACAAGAAAATTATTTTTCATTGACTTCACCTGGCTTCAGAAGATTCACATGACACAAAATCATCATTAGATCTTCAGATATTTTCATACTTCTTCAGTTTGACCAAAGTGGAAAACAGCATTTGCTTTTTGAAATGATTTGATAATAAAAAGACGACTGGTAGGTATTAAGAAAGTTCTAGGTTTGTTGGGTGAGCATGTCTGAGAGGTTTTCTCCACAATTCATGCTTATTCGGGTTGTGATTTGCAAGTGCAACTTGTGCACAAAGAAAAGATCACACCATTAAGAACTTTAAGGGAACATCCTGGATTCATTCTATGCCTTACTATCTGTTTGTGATTCTCCACATATAGATGATGATTTATTTGAGAAACTAATGTACTACTTTTAGTTAAATAAAGATCCTTTTTCAACAACGTTGAACATCATTATTAACCATTTCATGTATAAAAGAAGAGAGTGAGTTGTAAGTTTTAGTCCAGACAACAGAAAAGTTAAAACTTGGATTGGATGAGATGTTCATTCGAACTGGTTGCAAGGTCTTCTAATAAATTTCTACGCTGCTTGGTACACGATACGCAATTAAGGTAAAATATGTTACAAGTGTAACTGGATTTGATTGCAAATATATATTTATATGGTTAATTGTAAGGTAATACTTGTGTTACATTTAAAGCTTCTCTCATAAAAAGTTATTAAAAAACTAATAACTTCCCCATCTCCACTGCTACACCCACCAAAAGCCAATAATCAGGCAACAAGGCCAAAGGAATAAATATATAATCACAAAAAATCTCCATAAGGGGTGTTGTGGGATCCCTCGATGTATACTTTATTCATCATCTGGCGTACCGCCCACCATTAGTGTATCCGTTTCATCATGTATAAGTCAACTTATTACAGTTCGTAGGGACGGCTAGCGCAGATAGTCCTCGAGTAACTTTGCGCGAAACAAAGAAACAAACACTAGTTTATCAATTCAGAATTAAGGACGACTAACGCACGTAGACCTCAAGTAGCTTTGTACCAAATTCAACAAACAAACATTTTTTATTATTATTCTAATCATCAGCTTGTAATTATTTCTCCTATATTTAGATTACTTATAACATTCTACCAGTGATCATATCGTTCTTATTTTATCCTAGTTATTCTATTACTTTTATTATTATTACCATCGTGCAGTATTAGTCTGCCATTCATTGACTTTTGTTTTCACGTTCTCTCAGTGATTTATTACTTCCCTAGTCGCATAACTAATTCAAGGGCCGGACGTGGCTTAACGATTACTTTATCTAGCAACAGATCAGAAGATTGAAGGTTCGAACTGCGACATGCAGCTGAATACGCTCTGCACCTTCAACTGTGTCAGTCCATTCCGCATATTCGGTTAAGATTAGGGACGGGATCTGTTGATTGGTTACCCTTTCTCTGGCTAGCTTCGAAATTAGGGCTATGTCTGAACAAGAAGAGTCTCTAACCGGGTCGATTAGCCCACGTGTCGTATAAGCTGCCATTCATGTTGACAACATTATTGTAATATTCACCCAGTAATTATCTGCTTGATCTATTGATATTACAGAGAAAACTTCTCTTCAGCTTTCACCGTTCAGGGTTTTTACGAGTGTTAAAGAGCATACCAAAAATTGGAGCTATTGGTGGTTTTTATAGGTTACACGAGAGCCTGTCTGTTCTACTGTTTTCATCGTGAGGACAGTGGAGTAGCTACAATGTATGCTTGTATGTTGAAGCATCCACATTATTTCACAAGATATATGATATATATATTTAATGTATAAACATAAAATATAAAAGTAATGTCTTCCCCTTCGTTCATTTAAATTTTATTTCAATATATCACTGGTTATAACAGCTTGTCCCCCATACCTCACCCCCCACC